AAAGTTGCCAAGGTTGCAGTGGCTGAGGAACTCTGGGAGTTGAAGTCCACAATTCTTAAAGTTGCCAAGGTTGCAGTGGCTGAGGAACTCTGGGAGTTGAAGTCCACAATTCTTAAAGTTGCCAAGGTTGGAGACCACTGCTCTAAAGCATCCGGAATTAATATATTATGTTTGGAAATTGTCAAGATTGGGAAACACTGTTAAACGGGTATTCATTTAACTGCGGTGTTAAATAAAGTGATGAAATAATTTGAAGATGGGCAAAGTGGGACTTACAAGGCTTCTCTGATTTAGTCTCTTCTATGGTCTGCCTGGAAGCAGAAAGAATGCCTGTGTGGAGTAGAATGGGAAGAAGATTTATATTGGAGTCCCACTGCAATGCCCCGTTCAATGGCCTCTGAAATAATGGATGCCATATCTTGGGTGTAAGACTGAGGCCGGAATGAGGGAATCCCCGAATTCTGAGAGAGTTCAGGAGTAAAGCTCCTGTCATCTCCCGATTCATCCCCACTAAGACTGTGCCCCGCCCCCGCACGCCCTTTCATACCCTGATTGAATGAGGGAGGCCACCCAAAAAGCCCAGCTTCCTTGCCCATTTCTGAGGATATGTTGCACTTTGTACGTGCTTTGAAAAACAAGTTTTCATATTTATTTCTTGTATAGTAAAAACCTAATTTCAAATTCTGAACTGTATTTTGGATGAGGGCCATTAATGCCTGGGAGCACAAGCAATTATTCACAGCTTGTTAATGTAATTATATTTTATTGAAAATTATTTTCTCCTACATAGCAGTGTAGAAATAAACAAGGCTGGTGACGTCAGTTGTGATTGATTTTTAGTCCCTGATCCAACCTAGATTAGCTTAGCAAATTGCTGTCATGTGATCCTATCCATGACTATGACTTTCTAAACATTTTAAATGGTCTTCATTTTTAAAAAAAGAGAAAATGTAATGGGAGTTTTTTTGGGGGAAAGAGGGATTCCATCCAGTTATTGTTTGTGTTTCAGGTTGGTTATGGCTATTTCCAGCCTTGTCTGGCCATGCCTATTTCAATACATGGGGACTGTGCCCAGGTTGGTTACCAGATGCCAGAGAAAAACTAGGAGCATATGGAATAGGACTGCCACTCTATCCAGAATCGAGAAGAAAGCCACACAACCATTGAAGACACTTCTGCTCCTACCTTCTCTCCAGTGGAGCATCAGCAACATAGCGAAGAGAAATCTGCACACCAGCCAGCTTCATCTCCAGGAAGTAATGCTCACGTGTGAACGATATGGGGTAGAGAGGCTGCCCTTTGCCCATATTTCTGATTCTGATTTAACTTTCTTTGAGCACCTTTTGCCTGGGAGAGTCATTACTGATGCAGAGGAACTCAAACCTTTCAATGTGGACTGGCTAAAGTCTGTGAGAGGTAAATCATTTTAAATGTTTTGTTACATTTCTAGAGTTGCCATCCTGATAAAGCAGTTCTAAAAACAGCATAGGACAGGTCAAATCATTATTTAAGGATAAATCTGGCATTGAAGAGGGGGAATTGTACTACATAGGAGTATCCATACTGTAATACCAACTAAATTGCATTGGGAAGCTATCTTTATTCTGGGTTGTTGTTGTTTGCAGCTAAGAAATAAATGATGGGAAAATGGGAGGTTGGGTGGGTTAATTTCCTCCCCCATCTAACCCCAATGCATGCAGGGTTGGGTAATTGGACTTCAGTCATACTTGTAATAGAATTCTCTCATCTTATTTCCACTGCAGGCTGCAGTACAGTACTGCTAAAGCCACGGACAACAATGGAAGTATCTCAGATTCTCAAGTAAACATGTTTCTTTGAACATAGTGCACAGTGTTAGAAATTGTTATTCAGAAGAATGTGCCTTATTTCTGTATTGTCCACAGACATATGAAGAACAGAGTACAGAATGAAGTAAAACAGCCACATCCTGTTACATTTCTGAAGAGTAGTTCAGGAGTTAGGATTGTAGTTTTTAAAGAAGACTCCTCTTTCCATCTCTCTCTCTTCCCCCTCCTCTCTTCCTCCCCCCTCCCCCCCTCTCGTATTTGGATCTTCTCATAGTCAATAGGGTGGTTCATCAATTAAGATGAACACGTAATTTTTATGTGGGAACATAGAACAATTCTCTTTCAGTTGACTCAATCTTTGTCTAAAAAGAGAAACTGAGACGACACTAAGAATCACCAGAGTATACTCCATATCAGCCTTGTGTTTTTAAGAAGATATAACCTTAAAACAGCTTTTTAAAAATGCTGTCAAAATTGGGCTTCCAGGTAGATGGATTTTTGTAGGTTACTTCCAGACTCAGCATGCATTTGTTTAATCCCCTCCCATGGACAAACGATTTTTATAGAAGATTCAAATATTGTTGACTATAATCTTTCAAAAATTTCCCAACACTTCTATCTTTTTCTTACTACTGTAGCCTTTCCACGAAAAGTGGAAAAATAATGATATCTTTTCACTGGAAGCACTATCAGCCTTTGGTCAGGAAGCCTCTATACATCTATAGTGTATAGAACCATCTATAGTCAAAGGGAATTATGCATGTCAACTTTCCTAGAAAACAGATGCAGATTCTCCTAGGACATATTTATACATCCATGTATGCAAGCATTTGAAGAAGCAGTATCAATTAAATAGCTACCAAATGCTGACAGTCATTACTACAAATGTGCATGAATGCTGACAATACAGGTAGTTCTCAACATACAATACGATTGGGGCCAGAATTTTTGTTAGTAAGCAGGGTGGTTGTTAAGTAGTCACACTTGATTTTGCAACCTTTTTGATATAATTGTTAATCACTAGTAGTTAACTGAATCACATGGTTATGAAGCAAATCTGGCTTCTTCCCTTAATCTTGCTTCTCAAAAGGGTGGGAAGGTCCCAAATGGCAAATCACATGATCCCAGGACATTGCAACCATTGTAAATACATGCTGGTTGTCAAATGCTTGAATTTTGATGACATGACCATGGGGATGCCTTGATGATCTTAAGTACAAGAATTTGTGGTAAATTGCTTTTCTCAGTGCTGTTATGACTTCGAATGGTCCTTTCAACAAATGGTTGTAAGGTGAAAAATTCATTTCCTGTATTTTGGATGAACTCCCATTGCTAGCCATTCCCATGTGTTAATATAGGAATCATACCTACTTTCTGACTAGAAGCCAGAAAGTTTACTCTGACTTGATTGGGGAGACCTAAAGTATTGTATTTTTCAGACGATAGTATAAGACGCACCATAATTTCAGAGAGGAAAAGAAGAAGAAGAAATCGTTTTTGCCCTCCCCGGCCCCTAGGAGCACTCTGCAGGCCTCCCAAACCCTCTAGATTTTGCGAAAAATGGGATGCGTGGGGCAGGGTTGAGGAGGCCAAAAATGGCCGTATTCGGGGTATAAGATGCACCAACATTTCCACCCTCTTTGGGGTGGTGGTGGTGGTGGAGTGCGTATTATATTCCAAAAAGTATGGTAATAGTGTCATGGATGCAGCATTTTTAACTTCTAAAACAATAAAAAATGTTTTTCTTTTCAGGTACTGCAATGAGAAGAACTTGGCTGTGAATCCTCAGGGAGGCAATACTGGTCTTGTTGGTGGCAGTGTTCCTGTCTTTGATGAGATCATTCTTTCTACAGGACTTATGAACCAGATCATCAGTTTTGACCATATTTCTGGTAAATTCTGGTCAAGGCTTGGGCGGGGAGGTGGGGCAAGTCTGGTGGCTTAACAGAATTATCTTTTCAGGGAAGATGGTTCCCAGACTTAGAAAGCTTAATAAAAGTATTCTCTCCCCCCACGAGAGGGGGGGGGGAAATCTAAATACCGGATAGAGAAATGCTTTTAAACACTTTTGTCCTCAGTCATATCTTTGAAGATTTCAAAGTGTTCTGTGGTTTAAGAAAGGATCTTGCATATATACTGTGTTTCCCTGAAAATAAGGCAGAGCTGGGCCAGGGCATTGTGAGGCTGGGAGACGCGCGAGCGGGAGCAGAACAGCCACTCACTCAACCCTCTTCTCCAGCCATGCAGAGCGCCATTCACTGGCATTTTGAAGGCGCCAAGCCACAAGAGCCGGGTGGTGGCAAACTGGTGCTCATGCAGCTTGGTAATACCCCTAGGTCAGTGAATGGCACTGTGCCCGGCTGGAAAGGGGGTTTGCCGGGTGGCTGCTTGTGACCGTGGTTGCTTCATAGCTGCTATGTTGTGCTGTTGCGACAGCACAACACAGCCGTTCGCCCCTGAGGCTTGTCCGGCTCTTTAGGAGCCCGCTCGCAAGAGAGCAGCCGCCCGGTAACCCCCCTCTTCAGCTCGGCACAGCACCGCTCACCAACCTAAGATATCCCAAAGGTGCCAAGCAACGCGATCACCTTCCCCCGCCCCCCCGGTTCCCACAGCTTGGCACCTTTGGGATACTGTTAGGTTGGTGAGCGGCGCTCTGCCTGGCCGGAGGTGGGAGGTTGTCCAGGGGGCTTATTTTCAGGGGAGTGCTTATATTTTTGTCCACCAGAAAAATGTGGCAGGACAGTTTCAGGACAGGTCATATTTTTGGAGAAACACGATAATAGTCGCCTGACTACTGCAAGGAAGGTTAGTTGAAGAGTTAGAAGACCTACTCAAGGTTATCCAACTGAGTTCAAACCACATCTTTAAATTTAATTCCTTTTCTTGTTATATTGCTATATTGAGCCATAAATTCACTAGAGCCTGGGTTAGGCAGCATGCTAAATGAAAACAAATGGGCCAAGTTAAATTAATTGAGCTTAGCCAGTCGTGAAGATGCCGTTGCTAGATCTTTGATTGCTAATTGTATCCCACGAATCCAACCAGCTTGTTTTATGCCTGAATTGAGAGAAAGCTGTTCCATTAAAAAGATATTTATCTGACATTACTATGATTTGATACTTATGCCTCAGGAATCCTGATTTCCCAGGCGGGCTGCATTTTAGAGAACCTCAACCAATATTTGGAGCCAAAGGGCTTTGTCATGCCTCTTGACCTTGGAGCCAAGGGCAGTTGCCATATTGGAGGAAATATAGCTACAAACGCAGGGGGCCTGCGCCTCCTAAGGTATGGGTCCCTTCGAGGGACAGTTCTTGGATTGGAAGTGGTAAGTTGAAATTCAGAAAAGCACTTTCTGTTTTTTTTAAAAAATATTTAAAATTAATATTCTCTACCATTCCTTTTATTCTATTTCATAGATACTACTACCATTTGTTCCTTTTTTTTTTTTTTTACAAAAATGTAACTTAGAAACTACTGTTTCTCCAGTTAAGCCTGTGTAACCATCATAAACAAAATTTAAAATAAGAACATTGTATTGATTTATTTGAAATAAAGCCGATTCATTAATGATGGACCAAATGTTGTCCTGTTTCAGGTGCTGGCTGATGGCTCCATCCTGAACTGTTTGGCATCTCTGCGGAAAGACAATACTGGCTATGACTTGAAGCAGCTTTTCATTGGCTCAGAGGGGACTTTGGGGATGGTCACTGCGGTGTCCATCATTTGTCCACGGAAATCAAATGCTGTGAATCTGGCATTTCTTGGTGCGAGTCATTCCTATCTCTTGTTTTTAGTGCATTTTTTGTACTTCCAAGTGTTGTGCAGGAAGAGTGCATTTGAGGTAGCAGTTAGTTTATCAAGGCTACTTTCTTATATTTAGGTTTTGTAACCATTTGTTGTGATCACCAGTGTTAGTAATGAAAATGGAGAAAATAATTTATGCCACTACCAAACTCTTTTTTACTATTGGCATGGAAGCCACAGGCAGATGTGAGAAATCAGGGCATCCTGAAATAATAGCTGGATATGAAATATAATTATCACGAATCTTGTCTAATTTATAGATGGCACCTCAAAACTGTTGTCAGTGGCAAATCACAGCTCTCATGTAAAATGAAACAAACGAATTCCTCACTCATACCTAACTACAACAAAATCACATCTGGCTATCTCCTTTTTCTCCTCTGCCTTTATGAGTTCTCTTCACTACACCTCTATTCCATATCTGGGGCAGCTTTAAGTTGTTCTTAGCTGTGCTGATTTTGAAGTAACATTTTCCTCCTTATTTTGACATAGTTTTTGCCATGTATACAACATAATGTATTATGCCCACTGATCTGTTGGTGGTGCAGTCGAATGGCTTCTAAGGGATGAGTTCAACCTGGGATCTATTGGTCCTATTAGTTTTGGTGCCCTTTAGGGCCTGACTACTGTCTTCTGGGTCTTCTGATTTGGGTAATGGGTAAGTCTGGTTCTTTAAAATCAGGCCCTTGCCCAATACCTACAATATCTCCAAGCTATTCCTGGTTGCAAAACTTAAATCAGCTGGAATAGCTGTTGAAAGGTCGCAGGATGCGGGCAGTGCATGATGATGTTGGGAAGAGAGAAGATTTTGCTCTGCCGTTTCATAGTGTGTCTTTTCCCACACCTGTATAGCTGTTGTCTGGGATACTTTTGAAGATGACTTTAATACTTTTTTTGGAATAGCACACATCTCAGCAAAGAGTCATATTCCCTTTGAAACCCTTACAAAACACTTGGACTAAATAAAGCAAATGTCAGAATTCATTTTCTCCTCAGCCACCGGGACCAGAGGTTTTGTCTTTCAAGCTTTCAGGCTTGTGCTAGAGCCCATTCTTAAGGAACTTCTCTGTGTTCCCTGAGGGTGAGCTCCAACAGAACTCCAAAAGCTCAGGAAACAAAACCTCTGGTGACCGACTCAGATTGGATCCTGCAACATTATCCTGGGAAACATATAATTCATCTTCATTCATGAAAGCTAGGGGAATGGACTAATTTCTGCCTTTCGTGCACACACTAAATGAGAACAATTAAATTTCTATTATCTACTTTAGTTTTATAAAAATGACTGTCAGTTTCATTCTCTTTTGTTAATCTTGGAGTGACAGTAGAATGAATGAATGAATGAAGGTAGCAATTACATATTTAAAGCAAAAGAAAGAATAGATATGAAAAGTTCCAGTGCTTTCCCTACCATTTTTTAAATTTTGTTTGTGTGCCTTCTTACTTATTTTCTGTGATTTTTTTACTTCCACCATAAAGCTTGCCCAAGTTTCTCTCAGGTCCTGAGAACCTTCATAATGTGCAAGGATATGCTGGGAGAAATTCTGTCTGCTTATGAGTTCATGGACAATGGATGCATGAAGTTGGTAGAGAGGCATCTGAAACTGAGCAATCCAGTAACAGGTACCAGCTGCTCCACAAATGGATTCCCATTACTAGTTCTATGTACTTTTGCTTAAATAATCTGATGACTGGCTTTAAATGTACTGGATACATTTGTACTTAATTTGCTGCCCTGTTACCGAAATTAATTTAGGTCTTCAATATATTTTGCTCATAGTTACATGATGATGTAGGTATTGTGATCTGTGCATGAGAATATTTATTGGTTTTTTTTAAAAAAAATCCTTATTAAACCTATGATTTTAACAAAACTTCAATATCATGGTTTGAGGGGAAAGCTATTTCTCTGCCATTTTCTGTAATTTATAGTTTAAGTTAGTGTAGAACAGTTAAGAGAATTAGGAGGGAGTTTATCATCTCTGGGAATACAGTTAAGTAAAACTTGATTTTGGACAAATTCATTTATTAAAAGCATCTCTCTATAGATACTATACATTATTTCACATGCTTTCGAAATGTGATTTGCCATTGTTCTGGACTTTCTTTTTCATTCTGCTAATTGAGGCCAGAAATTCTCAAAATCCTGATTCACTCCATAAGGATTGTATTAATCATTGTTCATGATGCTGGCTAAAATATAAGGGTCATTGATGTTATAGAATTACAGAAGATAATTTGGCAAAACATGTAGTGAATAAAGAGGATGATCTTTATGAAGAGAAAGAAGTTCCATTCTCAAAACAATGTGTTGAAAGTAGGATAATTTGAGCTTGATTGTTTATGCCTTGAGTAAGATCTTTGGGTTGATTTATTTGATGATCCATTTGTTGTTTTCTAGGCTATGCACAATATTCTCAAGTGTCTTCATCCACACCAAAGTTCAAAAGCATCAATATCTTCCTATCCTGATTTTTTTTTAAGTCCAACTTTTGCTTCCTTAAAATGTCATTGGGAATAAATACCATGGCTTGCATGATTCCAATCTTTGTAGTATAGACTAGTATTTCCCAATCTTGGCAATTTTAAGATATATGGACTTCAATTCCCAGAATTCCCTAGCCCACATCATGGTATTTAAATATCTTCTCCAAAGTTTTCATGGCTGCTCTACCAAGTGCTTGTGTGGGGTGTATTTCTTGACTGCTAGTTCCTTTATGGAGATGGTTGATCCTAAAAGGCAGAACTACTCATACTTCAGTATCTTTATTGTTAATTCTAGGGCTGGTTGTTGTATCTACTGTCATTAATTTAGTCTTCTTTATATTTAATTTTAGTCCTATTTTTCCACTGTACTCTTTGACTTTAGCTGGGCAGTTGGGATTACTTGCACACTTGGGTGTCCCTGCTGGGAATATGTATTATTAGCATATATTCCTGACATTCTTTGCTCATTCCTCCCAGGAACATTCCATCACTATAACGGGACTTTGTGTGTCTGTGTCTGTGTCTGTGTGTCCCAACTCTATATTATTCAATTTTCATAATCCTAGGAAATTTGACTTAATTTTTACATGCAAAATCTCATAACTTCAGTAGATGTAGATGTCTGAAACTGCATGACTCTTTAATTCTGCTTTTTGTAAACCTAGAAAGTCCTTTTTATGTGTTAATTGAGACTTCAGGCTCCAATTCTACTCACGATGAGGAAAAACTCAGCCATTTCCTGGAACATGTAATGGGCTCAGATTTGGTGGTAGATGGAACTCTGGCCTCAGAAGGAAAAAAGATAAAGGTAATTTTTCTTTCTTTCTTACCAACAGGTTTGGTTTGGATTCAAACATGATTTAAATTTGAAACATGTTTCAATAGGCAGCTATTGGCCATGTAAGTTTGATAAGTGATCAGTGAATGTTAAATTCAAACAATACATTGTAAGTCAGTTGGAGTTAGAGTCTCAGAGAACTGTCTAGATTATCTTACAGTTATCTGAATGTTATTTCCAAATGTCCAATAAAATCAGGAAGAGTAGATGCATTTTGGGTCCCATCCCAAAGGTGCTTTTTCAAGAGACAACTGGATTTTCTGTTTTTTTCTTTGAAGACGTCCCACTTCTCATCCAAGAAGTTTCTTCACCTCTGAAGAAGCTTTTTGAATGAGAAGCAAAATGTCTTAAAAGAAAAACCGGAAAATCCAGTTGCCTCTTGAAAAAACACCTTTGGGGCAACCATGACCTGAATGATTGAGCATCTCCATAGACATTTGGGTCCCATCGCTGAAAGAGACATTTGGGTCCCATCGCTTATAGGACCTAGGAATGTGACTACTCTGCTGCAGAACTTACCCTCAATATGTGGGTCTTGAGTGATCACCAGTACCCATCTACAATCCTCAGAACCCCACAGAATGAGTGAGTCTAAAATTTACATATTTTGCATTTTAAGGACTCCGTATCATTACCATCATCCCCTAAACCCTCAGGGAAGACAGAAGATCAGAGTGCAGTTTCTAGGTTTAAAATGTCCCATATTTGCTTCTAGTCTAATGTTTTATACAAGAATGCTTCTAAACCCCTTGTCAGTCCCATATATGTGTTAGACAATTTAAAATTTCATTTGGAAATATCCCCCGAGTTAGAAAAAAAGACAAAGATAACTTGAGTGGGCAGAATGCATTTTGGGTCTAAAGGAGATGAGAGCTTTTTTTATCAGATTGCCTTTTAGTAAATGAGGGTTTAGGGGCCAGGCCACATATAGAATGGCCCATATTTTGTGAATAAGCAATTGCCTTTCTTTATAGAAGGCATGTCAGCCATATTGGAATAGTGTACAGATGATGCTTTTAATTCCAAAATGCACCTCTTATCCCTGATTGAATGAATGTTGCTTATTATTTTTACTATATGTGTCTACGTCATTGTTTGTATTCCCCTTCCTGATTTTTATGTGAGCCGCCCTGAGTCCCCTCAGGGAAAAGGGCGGCCTACAAATGTTAATAAACATTCAAACATTCAAACATTTANTCAGAATGCATCAAGTACCAAATTTGATGAGTTTCAAAGCAGTTGAGTACCAAGGTACCACTGTATAGTGTTCTGTTTTCAATATTAAGGAATTTTAGAAGACAGGCTTTGTACCAAGTCTCTGCACTAAGGTAAATTCTATGGTAAATTCCTAGAAGAGAGCAAAAGATAAAGGTGAAATTGTGGGTGTATAATTCATCTGCTATAAAATAAAGTGTGCCTCTGTAGGTAGCGATGCATCAGTTGACTAATCTTTTAAAGTCTGCCAGATGCTTGGTAATTCTGTTTTACAATTGTATCATTAAAAAAACATTAAGTACCTTATGGGATTCTTGAGCATTGTTACATAGTTTTTATAATAGCGCCAAGTCACAGTTTTTCTAACCTCCAATAAAACAGTTATTATGCATTCTTATTGACAGCAGTTTTTGTAAGAATTCACATACTAGTAGTTCAGTTATTAACAAATAGTAATTATGGCTTTTAACCTTCCATTCCAGATTTAGAAGAAAGTGACATTATACTACAATAACAATTACTTTTAAATTATGTTTTTCCTGTCAGTAAAGTATTATAGATTGATAGTAAAGGCTCTTTTTATGTAATACCAACAATTACTGCTGCTACATAGTTCCAGAAGCAAATTAGATTAATTTATCATAAACAAGATTGAAACTCATTCTTCAGTCCCAAAGAATTAGGTATTTAGTAGTGAGTGAATGAGTAAAATTTCACCATCCAATTTTTGAAAAATGGTATTGGACTGAGCAATTATTCCATGTTGACTTGTCTATTTTGAAAGGCTTTGCATTGATTCCAACTAGTTTATATTTGAAGTTTTAAAATACTTATTGGTTTTGAACTTGTCACCTTGATTCTTGTCTTTTGAGAAACTTTTCTGAATGTTGCTTGTACAGTATCTTGTTTCATTATTGAAACTTGAATGTGAGGAGCTAGATACATGTTTTAAAAAATAAAGAAACTCCACTTTTCAAAAAAAATGTTATCTTTTCCCCATTGTTCTTCATAAATAAATGTCACAGCATAAATTTTCTAGTCATAGCTCTAGGTTTATGTTTTCTTTGTAAATGAAGAGAATATTATAAATCTTTTTATTAAAATGTGAAATGTATTTTTGATCATGTTATGGATATATTAGGTATATTATAAATAAAGTATTTTTGAGAACAAATATATGGACATGTTTGGTTTGTTTCTGAGAAAGAAAATAGTGCACAAACTAGAAGTGAATTTGTTTGCAAACAAAATTCTATTTATCTCGATATCTATCTCTATCTAGGGTTTGAAGTTATGCTTCAAAGTTCTTGGGAAGAAAACACAGTTGCGTAGTTGACTCTTATTTTAAGCTCCATTCCAGAAGCCCTTTGAATGTTTACATTTCACTTTTATGCTTTACACCAAATTTGGAATATAACTGGTACTTGAAATGGAATTAACCCACTTTCACCACTGTATAACATCATCTTATAGAAAACTATGGAAGAAGAATCATTGGCTTTGATTAGTTTCATTCCATTCTTGTTCAAAACATCTAACTTAAAGGTTGTACATTGATGGCATAACCACTTTGAACACACTTCTATCAATTATTTCCAGTCACAATATTTAATTTCCTCTCTATTTTAAAGAGTAAAATTCAGGTCTTACTATTCTAATGATTATCTCCCTGTATTGGATGATTTATCAGATCAATACTTCCTTTGGATCATTACAGGATTTTGTAATCCTCCACTTAAGCTTTATATTTCTAAATTTGACTTTCATTTTAGTTGGAGATTTTAAATCCAAGTAAAATTCTGATGATAAATCTCTTTGCAACAGTTCACTTCAATCTTTGATTATGGCTAGACACTAAAATAGAAATTAAAACATTAAAATAAAATAGAACAAAACATAATGGTTATTGGAATTAATGGGATCATCAATGGTAGCCAAAGTCTGCCTAACTTTACAGATAGTATAACAGAATTTAGCTATGTTCAGAGATGCTGATCTAATGGTAATAACTACGTAGAAGAAATCAGAATTTATGTGACATTTTTCTGTGGTAAGGAGATGCGAGTCTGAGCACTTACAGAGGGTGCAATGTAACAGGATAAGAGCCATGGTTTGAATGATCCCTTGTACACACTGGCACATTCTCTGCTCACATGGGACCTCCAGTATGATTGCCTTGTGGAGTGTTTTAATGTGCTCAAGTTTTTTTTTAATTTAAACTAAATGTTTATGCTGATAAACATAAATATCATAAAGCATGATAACATTTTTCAAACTTCATTGGAAAAGGAAAGATGATAGAAAAATATGTTTACAATTTAGTTTAAATAAAAATGAAATAAAATTGTTTTCGGAATTCACTGGGCTGTAGATTAATTAAAGCAGTGCAGGGTAGAGAGAATCCTAGAACAGGTAGCACTATCATTAACTTACAATTTCTTGATTTTAATGGCATTATCTTAACCCGGAATGCTAGCTTAGTAAAATCTAGCATGGTAGCTACGATCCAGCAAGAGTGATCTAACAGCACAGCTTGTGCCAACTTTGTGCTGTAGGAAGTTATCATCCAGCCCTCTCCCAGAAAAATGAAATATCCTAGGAAATATTGAAAAGGCAGAATATTTCTCTGGATATGAAAAGAAAGA